GATCGACAGGAACGGTGCAACTTCGTTGTATGGAAATGATGGAACGTATTTGTTTGCGTAATGATGTTGGAGCATTAGACGAAGTTTATGAGGAAATGAAGTCACTTGAAACGCTAGAAGGCGTATTGGAGTATTTTAAATCTGTAGAGGTGATTTAGATGATTTAGAAACCTTCTTTGTAGCCTCTAATTTATCTAATTCTTTCTCTTCATTGCACTAGTTTCTTGTAGAAAAAAGAAGAGGAAGTCGCACGAAGACTTTCACAGAAAACGGAGTCAAGTGAGGCTAATAACTCTACAAAAGTAATTTGGACTTCTGATGAGACAGCTTTGGTAGTGAAGGCTGCAAACCTGTTTCCTTCTGGTACTGTTAACAGGTGAGGTTGATACTGTTCAGCACTTGATTTGACTCCTATTGGGGTTTTTAACTCCACTAAAAGGTGGCTTATTCATTTTGTATAAAGACCCTAAAGCATGGTCGTTTTCATTCCCTTCTTTACTCCTTTCAAGATTTTGGATTTTTAGATTTTCTTTTAAATTTATTTATTTTTTAAATTTTGTCATTTTAAAAATAATAACATTTTAGAACTGGTAAGAATGAGCTTTAATCTTATTTTTATAGAACAACATTAATGTTTTAGGTGGAAGGAGATAGCCAATTACGTAAATGAGCACAGGAAGGATAAATCAAGCAAACTTAAAACTGAGAAAGATGTTGTAAAGCAGGTACGTTTTTTAACTTTTTATTGCCAAAAGTACTTCAAAAATAAAAATACTTTGCTAGGAGCTCTTTATATTTTTTGGCATACTAGATATCGATTGTGTTGATATACCAATCGATCATATGGCATTTCTAGTACAGGAGAGCCATTACTTTCGTAATGTGTCTTTTGAACTGTATTCTTCAGTCGTGATAGTCGCCTGATCCTATGTCCATCCGGTAGAAAACTATTGAGGATTGTGATTATACTTAAGTATCAATATGTATTGAGTAGAATTTTCAGTTAATTGGCTTACTTCTTTTTTGATATACAAAAGGAACTTTGGTAATTTCTCATAATATTGTCTTTAGGTGAAAGCACTGAGTGCCTTAGACTTCAAGCCGCCAACAAGCGCTCAAAACAAATTAGGCGGTCACTTTTTCACTGTAGATGGATCAGAAGAGTCAGACTGGACTGCTGAAGAACAAAAAATGTTGGAGAAGGCCTTGAAGACATATCCATCAACGGATCCTTCTCGTTGGGATCATATTGCTGAGGCCGTAGGGAAAACCAAAAAGTCATGTATCAAAAGGTTCGCTTTTCAAAATTTTGTAATAGCACGTTAGGTCAAACACCAATGTCATTTCTTCTGAGAAAGGTTTTAGTGTAATTTATATGCATGTTAACTTACTCGCTTTCCTGACAGTCTTAATGTCAGCTTTTCAGATACAAATATTTGGCTGAAATGGTGAAGATGAAGAAGCTTCAGGTTTCTCAAACACATTGATTCGGGTATTTAACAGATGTGTATAGTATATACGGGGTTCATACTTTGCTTTTGTACTTTGTCGTCTTCTAAGTAGCTGTTTAGACAGGTGAAAGGAGTGAGGAAACCATGGCTTTTTTAATGTTGCGGGGAACTTTGAACTTCCTAAGTGAAGCAGCAAAAAAATTGGGAGTACTAATTTGATCTTACTAGTGCTTTTTCTGGCATATTGGCTCAAAGCCTTATTTAAGTCTTTTATTTACCGTCGCTGTAGATCGCAAGGACGGTTTCTAAAACCCTCACTTTTATCTTCTCGGGTTTTATTGATTGCTAGAACTGTTGAAGCTAGTTTGTTTTCTTGTTATATATTGCCTATCATGTTATTGTCTTATGCCTTCTGCTTCCTTCCATACTTTTTGGGTTGTCTGTACACCTAGATGTTGCTAGTCAATTGAATGTGATTGTTTCAAGAAATTTGCTGAGTTTGTAGAAATATAGATGCCGGATTCGCATTTAAAATAATTTTGTAATTTGATTCATCTAAGAATATTTCAAGTCAAAACGGGAAAAACCTCGCGAATCTTGTCTGGTTCACTGTGTATGTCCACAGCTGCAGGTTTTTTCCATCTCCAATTTTTGCAACATTCTGAAAGTGGGAGTTGATGTCTTTCAAGTTTCTATTCGGATTGATGTTTTTTGATTTATTTTGCTTTTAGGTGTGACTCTCTTGTTGTACAATATGCTACAGCGTCCCCTAGAACCTCATTTGTTAGTTGATAATTTAGATAAGAACCAGTAACAGGTCTTTTACCGATTGGTCGTAGATTGCTGTAACATTTTATGTGACCGTGCAAATTGGATTCTTTGTTTACTTTGCTTTAAATTAATCTGATTTGTTTAAAATAAGTGATGGATAAAAGTTTCTGACCTCACAACTTATCATGATGTATCGTTTCTTCCTTGTCATTTATTATAACATTTGACTCGCTGCTTTAAAGTTTTTCATGTGACAATGTTTGTTATCTACTTTCTGATTATTTTGTCAATTTTATTACCAGCAGATGAGTTGTTCTGTGACTGTTTGGTTCTTATACTGTCTGAACTTTTTGTGTGAATATTTCTTTTCTTTCCCTTTGCTCAAGTTCTTGTGATGTCTGGAGTACTTTCATGGAAATATGTTACTGCTTTTTTTAGAAGCAATTGATTTTAAATATTTTTAGTCTCAAGGTTGTTTCTACCTGTTATATTCTTGGATTATTTTTGTTGTAATTGTGGCAGAATTCCCAATGAGACTAATTTTTAAGTGGTCGGTGGCCAAGGTGACAGGTCTACTGTATTTTACTGATGCTGGGTAGTCATTTAGTTTTAAATTTACGCTGTTTGATTTTTCTTTTCTGGGTTCTTTACGTTTTAGGCTAACTATTTTAACGGGCTATTAGGGGTTTTTGCTTATTGAGGGAAAGTTTTTTTTATTGGCACTTGTTGTCTCACTGATCATTTATTTCATATTCTTTTAAAAGCAGATTACAGTAAAGGCGAACCTGTTAGTTGATGAAAATATTTCTTTAAAAATTGGGTTTCCGAGTTATTAAAAGTTTATAAGGTTATTGTTGTAAATTGCTTCGTAATGTGCGAAGTTTCAGCTCTGCCAGTGTGTCAGACATCGCTGCCAAAGGTATTAAGGAAGATGAGTGCCCCCTGGCTAAAAAATTTCCTTGGCTTGAAGCAGTCGGATTTTGAAATGCTGAGAGTTCCTAACCCACGTCTGGAATATAGTGTCCAGGTAACCATTAGAACAACAGAGGTAGGAACTCTGATTGGTAGCGTTATGGGGCCTTTGTTAACATTTATATGGAACAGAAGGCCATCAGATGCTCAAATTAAAGAGAGCTTTACTCAAGGTGGTTTAACCGGAGCCCTTGTTGGTTGTCTTGTCGGTGTTATATACTCATCGTACAAATCTGGTCATTTGTACGATTTTCAGTTATACGATCGGTGTTATCGCCGCCGGTAAGTTACTTTGAGTTGGTATTTGTCGGGATTTGTTATGTGCGAATGACCTTTTAAACTGTATTTGTTTCCGTAAAAGTTCTAGTACATTTTCCAGTTTAGAATTAAGCGAGTGGATGGCAATTTGAATGTTTTTTGATAACTGATTATTGTTTTAGATTTGATGCTAAAGAGATGAATCTTGATCGTGTTTGCACACTAGGAGCCGTGCTTGGTACCATGGGGTGTGGTGGGTTCGGATATGTTGTTGGTGTTGACGCAGCTTTCCTCCTTTCCCAAGCCTTTAAAAGGAAGGAATAAAATGAATTCCATTTGTAATGTCTTGTTCGACAAGTTGAATATTTTCAGGAAATATTATCAATTTTTAGTAGATTAGCGTAGTCTTTTTTATTGATATGACATTTTTACAAGTAGTATAAAGCAATGCTGTACGCTATCTAGCTTTTTTTGCAGTATATTCTTGCCGCTGCAGCTGTTTCATTTGCTTACTCTATATGTTTCTTAATTTTTTGGAAATAACTTGAAGTTAATCTGGCGAAGATGATTAAAACGAAAGAACTTACTTCGTTTTTTTTTTTTGTTTTATTTCTTTCCTGAGCAGTTACTGTTGTACAGAAATACTATTGAAAGAAGTCATTATTTTTCCTCATTTCCACTCAGAAGGCGGTTATCCGATGCGGAATGTTGTTCACGGGTAAATTAGTTAATTTTTCGATTAAAAAAAATGCTTATTTAAATGACGGTAATACTTCAAGAGTTGAATTTATGACGGGGCAAGACAACTGTATGAACACTGACCTTTTTTATGTTCACCTTATTTTTCCCAGAAGTGTTGTAATTATTTAAGATTATCAATAGCGACTGGTATAGTTTTGATGCCAATAACTTGTTTATTAATGGACCATTTTAATTTTGATCTGTAACTTCTTACTAGGATAGCTTTTTATTCTTTATGCCATTATTGTTGTTTAACAGCCGTAATAATGATGAAGGAATGAGGTGGTGAAAATTGTCTCACGGTTTTACTTCTAAGCCGTACTCTAAAGTTAGTTTTGTTCAATGCAAATAGTTGGAAGCAGTGTTGAAAGTTTGTTCATCAGTCATTGAGATTACCAGTGAAATTATGCAAGAATGAAAATAACGACCAAGGACTGAACAACATGTAAACGTTTACAAGCATCTGTAAAAAATATGAACACGTATCCGTGTATTAGTTTTCAGTATTAATACAAGACGAACTTTGGCAATCTTATATTAATTTTGGGTATGAACTACTGCTGATTCTGGTCGTACTATTTACTAGGCTTTAAACCTTTAAAAATTTACAAGTTATAACTCAAAAGTTTCTACTCAATGAGCTACAGATATTGCTTTACCGTTATGGTAGTTTAAAGTCGAGAAAAGAAATCTGTTAACAGATGTTGCAACTTTTTTCTTGTTTTATTTTATTTTATTTTTTTTTTTGGAGGGGGAAGTTTTGCTGTATTTTCCAAAATATTCTGCCAGGAGGCTTCCCAACGGTCTCATTTAAAGAGCCACATTGCTCTTCAGGATGAGTATCAAAAGAGGCAAGGGTTTAAAGTGTGATCCGTTTTTGGTCAGCGCCTGACCTACAATTAGTTCTGGAGTCTAAAGAAGAAACTTGATTAGGAGGAGTTCATATTTTGATTACAATTTGCTGGTGCCCAGACACTTCGCTTTTGTTCATGTTCGACTGTTGCCACAATTTGGTGACATACGTATCGTACAGCATTGCGACCATGATGACTGCCAACACTTATTGCGCTAACTGTGCATTCCATACTTCGTAGCTGACTGTCCATTGATTCAGCACGTTCCATTAGTTCTTTAGCAGTTTTATTGTTCAGGCGTTCATCACCACATTCTTCCGCAAACTCTCTCAGCTGGAAAAATCTACTATATCAGATACTGCGTTAACTAGTATTAACAAACATTAGGATAATGAAACTGATTGGGATTAGAAAAAAAAGCTGCTAGCAAGTAATCTTGACCCGTTCTCGTAAATATCTCATGGAACCAAAAAAATCACTTCATTTTTTGAGAAAACATGCATCACAGGAATTTATCTCTAGTGCTGGATATAATCCTACTTGTTAATTTTGAAAAGTCACAATTTCTAAAGAAGCAAACTTTTTACCATTTACTACTGTACACTTATTAGATTTACTGGTGACAGTCACCAAACCTGATTATACCGATATATCTCTAAAAGTGGGATATATCTTTATTCAATTTAGTGTTATTTAATCAATAGATAAAAAATTTTTCACTATTCGGTGGAAAAGCAAACCGAGATCAAGAATTATAGTTAATAATTGAAACATTTTTTATGCAGATTGAATTTGAATATGTTACCTGCTTTACATTCTTGAATTTGATTCGTATAAATATGGGATATAGGTGCATGGCTCTTAGTTTAGCCACAGCCTGAGGAGCTACATCCAAAACACAATGGTAACCATTATTTATAATTTGTTGCAAAGCACTCACAGAAATCACCTCAAATAATTCTTCCCTGCGCCTTACCTGCAACTGTGTATCATCGTTACCATTTTTATTACTGCAGAGATAAATTATGATGTTCCACCCAATTATTTAGTGGATTTCTGGTTTTATCTGCCATTTAGGCATATATGGATTAGCAATTCAACGTTGTGCTCATACGGTTCTAGATAAGCAAAAAATATTACAAAGATTACTTCAATAAATTGGCTGAGTGTACTCGCTCGTCTAGCATCACAATCATTCAATGCCAAGCATTCTGCAACGCACTGTGCAAACCTGTAAAACACTGTCAGCTAATTTGCGCGAATGAACCTGCCCAAGAGTTAGGTAATTAATTTGCTAGTAACACTAAGTAAAAATGACTTATGAGCCACTTTCCTCCATTTACTTGCCTAAAGAGCTTCTAGAAGAATTTTTACAGCATCCATATTACTAATTGGATTTCAACTGTTACTACCAAAATGCCATCAGTTAGATAGTCGTGAAATGGATATATTAACTGACTTGTCGCCATGTTCATCGATTAGGGTCTGCATAAATGGAGCCACATATGCAGAGAATAGTATAAGCGGTCTTTTTTGAGAGGATGAAACCCGCTCTACTCGCTCGTACAAAAATTTTCCTGGATAAATTGCTTCACTAGAACGCCCTCTCGTTCGTCTAGTTCTCCGAGCTTCCTCGTCACAGATCCTTGCAAATGATGGAATAACCCCACACTGACGTTGTCGACCTTCGTGGTCTATCCTCCATGCTCTCCACTTGCCCATTTTATTTCCAAACATTGTGTAATCGACATACAGTATCTCGCCCTAGAAATAAAAGAAAATTAAAATTGTTGTTCTCTTCTTCTCACGCTGCAAGCTAGATTTTTCAGAGATGGAGGAGAAAGGATAACGACGAAATAACCGCAGTGACAAACAAAAATGAAATTATTGATGCGCGAGTAAATGTGCGGAATAATATTTTCAATGATCCTCGAAAGAACTGCAGTAAAATCCCTGAAAATGTGTTATTGATAGAATTTTAGCAAAGTCGCATAAAAAGAACCTTCTTAAGTTCCAACTCGTCAGAATTCTTCGCCGGTCTATCAATGTTAACCTTTATATAAAAGCTGTCCGGGTCAGCACCATTTTGTAAACGTTCATACCTTGCACCACCGTCATATTCACACAACAAGTTAACTATTTCGCTTTGACCCGCATCTAACGCTCGCCGCGCTTCCTCAAATGTTGCTCTCCGAACATCTTTGCCGTCTATTTCCAGTATCCTTTCCCCAACCTATAATATTTTTGCATTCAGGCAAACATCAGAAAAACATGAGAGTACGCATTAAAGCGACACCACGCTGAAGCCATGAAAGAACTTTTCAAACTCAAAATGTTGCTGGAGATCAAAGCAAAAAAACGGTAGTTTACCTTTAATTCACCTAGACGCCTTTCAATAAGAATCCCAACGCCATTGCCACCGCACAGTTGGACATCTTTTCGGTTTGAATGTACCCAGCGTGGCCCTTCTTTTGTTTCCTTAACGGTCAGCGTTATTTCTTCATTGTGGTGCCCAAGCTGTTTCAAGACTCGGCTAGCAGCATCTTTGTCTACCAAACGCATGTTCACTCCATTGACCTAAAGTAATATCAATTTTCATAAAACCTTCTAGTTTCTAAGCAATGATTGAAACATAAATCTTTGATTCGTAACTTATAACTCACATCGATAAGCTGCTCTCCCACATGCAACAAGCTTTTTGCTGCGCCGCGAACTCTTGAAATCACGACACCCCCGTTAAGATTTTCTAATTCAATGCCGAAATCGTCACTTTTTTCATCCTGATGTATAACAACACACCTAACGTCTTTTTCTTCCTCCGAAAGGTATTGATTGCTTTGTTTACGGACCGTATCAGTAACAGCTGAAAAAACAATGCAGTCATAAAAATTTTTGGAAAAGAAAGTTTATTAAAGTTTAGTAAAATTATAAAAAGAACAGTGTTAAACATCAATTAGCTAGTTGGTCCCCTCCCTTTTCAAACAGTTAAACTTTTCTCGTAAGCATCACGAAAAATTGACCTAAAAAGTGGAAAATAATTAATTAACGCACAATATCCATGTTGGAATGATGCAGAAGAAGACTGGGGGACAACCAGGTAGGAATTTGAAGAAGTTAAACTAAGCGAATCGATGCTGGGATGGATACTAGGATGTTGTCCAGGGTACGGCGGTGGTTCGGGTATTGTATTGATCCGTTGTGCGTGTGCCACTCCAACTAGTTTCGGTTGCATCAGCGTGTTGGTGGAAGTAACTATCCGAGCTGTGGTGCCGCAAACCGAATTTGGTGTCGACTGAAACCGTTCGCTAGGGTAGGACCGTTGTGCTGTACACTGGGTACTCAACGTAACACGCGGTAACTTTCTTCCGTCATTGTTTGTTGGTTGTGTGCTGAAACCAAGAAACGTTTAATGCTTCCGTAAGTAATTAAACTATTGCTCTGGTTAAGCGTCAAAAATTCAAAACAGGTGTGATTTTTCGCACCATTTGAAGAGCTAATAGCTTTTGTATTATACTTCTAACATATTGTTTTAATACTCAATACAGGCATAACTGTCATAACTGAAATCGTTTTGTTTGAAAAGATAAAGCTGCTAATTCTGCAGATACTTGTCAGAAAGAAATTTAACTGAAGCAGTTTCAATTAGGGGAAGACACTGTGGCTAATAAGTAACCTAGTTGAGGAGAAAACAGTTGTTACTGATGGGCGTACGCAAACAGTTTGCTTTCCTAATAGGCTTTCCGGACAACCTTTTGGCCAAGTACGTTTGACATTTTCGTCGTGCCTGAAAAAATCTGGTTTTAGCTAGTGTGTTATGCTAGTGTGCTATCTTCTGCTAACAGTTTAACCAGGTCTGATCAGTTACTTACGATTGTGATTGTCTATGGTAGATTTTATCTGCCCAAATTCCTGGTATCGGTTGTCGTTGATCGCCACTACGCAAAGTGGCTCGTAATGAGCCAGTACGAACCAGTTCATCGCTCAGTATATTCACTCTGGACGATGGAATACGTAATGATCCATGCCGATATGACGTTAAGTCACCAGCACAAGCATCCAAGTTGGCTTTTGCAATAACCGCTCGTGCTTTCTCATTGCCAGAACGTCCAAATAATTTCTCTTGAATCTGAAGTTCTTGAAAGCTGTTAATTTGAGCAGTTTTACAGCATTCAAATAACTGCAAACAAGTTATTTCTCACTGTTCAGAAAAAACTAGGACTTCACACTGAAATAGAATCTCTTATGCTAAGTTTGCTTGGAGCTTCACTTTATATATGTACTGTTGAAAGCAATTATTGAGAAAAAAACTGCGAATATCTTTTGAACCTTATTAAGAATACGTGTTCTTGGTTGTTTATCTTGAATGGCTGTTGTTGTCGCACGGCTACTCATCGTACTTGATGAATTCATGCCAAGCTTCCGATTTGACACTCCCAAAATCAGTTTCTTCCTATTTTCTGCAACAGTACCCAAATAAAAGCCTTGAGTTATTTAGGGATGCAGTCAGATAAAACGTTGAGAAAAAGGAAAATTCTATTTTTCAGTGGGATGCAACCAAACTTGATGTACTGATAACAAACCTTGAACAAGAGCCTTGGCTTGCAACGGGTCAGTGACTGGGATGCCATTAACGTGGAATAAGCGCGCTCCGACGCAAAGTCCGCTGTCTAACCCAACATCATCTCGAAGTTCACTAATCATAACTCCAGTTTCAAATTCAATACCCAGCTTTCCTAAAATTAAGTCAACATTACTGATTTTTGCAGAGAGTCTGTGAACTAAACTATGGTAATCCATAAGAATTACTTTTCCACACTTTAAAAGAAAAAAACTTCTCTAATTTTCTGTAATTAACTTCCAGCAAATTTTTTGGTAAGAAGTTATGACTGGTTGTAACATTCTATTAGTTTCAAAAATACTTGGTTATTCATTTTTAGAGATGTCAGTTTTTTAAAGACCTTTCGAACTTAATATGATTATGAATGAATTCCAATCTATTTTTTTCTTAACTAGTCCTCACCCGAAATTTCGACAATCGGAATTTCCGTAATACGACAAACCGGATTTCTTCTTTTGACTTCCTAAAAATTGTTTTGTTCTTTATGGTATTATAACTGATTGACAGTTGTTTAGTAATATGTAATTAAAAAAGATAGCGAAAAATTACTGAAAACCAGTCTGTTGAGGCTTGTGATAACTGAACTTGAAAAAGGTAAAAACCAATGCTTTGACCAATCAAAACTTTGTGCAAAATTTTGCTGTAAAAAAAAGCAAATTTTGTTTAGTTGATTTTTCCAAATAAAGTTCATATTAATGAAGATTTCACAAGGTTCTCATTCAAGACCTACAATTGTAATTACACTTTCCTAAACATTACTTACAATAGTCAATTTTTTGCTGTTGCTTAGAATCGAAGTGACTGAATGCTGATCCATCCCAGCCACTTCAATACCATTTACTTCAGTAATGTAATCCATCTTCCTACAAAAGAAAGCAAACGTTAACACTAACAATACAATTAAAGAGTAGTTTCTAAACAGCTTTTTTTAGCAGAACAGCGGCAGGATATTATTCTTCCCAATATCCGTCTGCCTCTGTTTTAATCTACAAATGAAAACTTTCACATGAGCTATTTTGCTGTGATATAACAATAACTGTCTATCCGTTAATAGAAGTTAATTTTGTAATTTTGTTGAATACATTTTTCTCTAATGTTCAAAAAAAATTAACACGGCTATGCAAGAAATCTCGTGAATTTTTTTTTTTTTGTTTTGAAATCCAAAACAGACAAATATACCGAAGTGTCTTTTTATTTTTTATTAGAAAAGAAAATTTCAAATTAAAAAACTAGACTAACTTTGCAGTTTTGCTTCTTTTCTAAAACAAAATTATTGTCAGAAGACAACTGTTAACTCCCTGTCTAATCCTAAAAATTAGCAAATTTTCATTTTCCATTCAAAATTTGGTGTCTAAAGCAAACTTACTGCAAATGAGGCTCAAAGGGGCTACCAGGTAGTATTTCTTTGATGTAAATTGGACTTTCGTGACCAACGATATCATCACCTTTACCTCCACCAAGTATTACACCCAAATTAGGACTAGCTGAAGGCTAAAAATAACGGTCATTTATTGAGCGCTCATTGAACAAAGTTCATTATTGACCATATCTTTAATTAAGTGTAAACTTTTTTGCCTAGTTGTTTTTCCCTCTATTTTTAAGGTAAAATTGCACAAACACCACTACTGCCATCAGTTTCATTGTTTTTGAACCAAATTTGAATAAAATTTCCGCTTATTTGTCGTTATAACTGTCATTATTTATCTGCTAAACTTACAAGATTAAGGTGAAAGGTAAGGGTGTCCCAAACATTTGTGACAGCATCCTCAACAATTTCTTCATCCAAAAAATTAAGCTTTAGCAATGCATCATTGCGTTCTTTTTCCAACTTTTTACATAACGAACGTAATCTTTCAATTTCTTCTCTGGCAGCTTCACCACGTTTTGAACTACTGACAGCTTCTTCAATATTCACTAAAAAACTTCAAACTTTGTTTTTGAAAAAAAAATATTCTACCTCACTGAAGTGGAAGGAGAGAAGAGAAGAGGTGAAAAAGAAGAGAAAAATTGTCAAATTTCAAATGTTTTTTTTTTTTTGCTTTTAAGCAAACATCCATTTACCAAAAGAATGATTTTTTGCCAATTTTTGTTAATAATTTCTTTGGCCCTTTCCTGTCTTCAAAAAAAAAAAAAATAAACAAGAAAAAAAAAAGAAAAAATGGTAGATTTTGAGTGTCAAAGACGACTGTGTCTGTCTGATTTGCTGACAAATAACTTTAAAATTACAAGGCAACAAATTTTTCTTTTCTATCACTTATGACATATTGAATTCCAAAAAAAACAAATTTTCAACAGTTTAATATTTAAATTTTTTCCAAATAAAACCATTTAACAATAACGTAGCAAAAAGAAAAAAATTCAAGGATAAGTGACTTTTTCAAAGCAGAAAATTTTTTTTCTTCTTTTACACACTGAATGATATTCGGCAGAATTTTGCAGTTTAAACTCGCTTACAGCATAAGGATCTTCGAACATCAAAATAATCGTTTCGAAGTTGTTGGATTTGTCGTTCACCCTCAAAATAAAATCAATCAATTCAAGTTGAATCAGAAAAAAAAAAAAAAA